GTGTACTAATGGAGAACAAGCCCTAATACACATTGTTCAGTTACAAAAAGCAGAATGCTATATGTTGTATTCCACTATTTATGGTATTCTATCATTCATGAGTCTAAGGGAAAAACTACTATAAATTTCCCTTGGGTACCTATGTATGTAAATGCATAGGGAGAAAAGGACCTGGAGAAAAAGCTAGAATTAGAGGAAGTGGTCAAAAAGGATGTTCGCCCTATTGAATTTTAGGTGGGTGATAGATAGATAGATAGATAGATAGATAGATAGATAGATAGATAGATAGATAGACAGATGATGGATGGATACACATGGACACACAGTTACACACGTGAACGTAGAATATATACTTAGAATACTTGTGATTTTTAAAATGTGGAGAAAACTTAAAGGGCCAAGGTGTTGCAAATTATTATTCGCCTTTTATAAATGAGGAAACCAAAGCTTAAAGACATCCAGTAACGTGCCTAAGTGCACACCACCAACAGGCCCCGGGGGAAGGATTTAAGCCCAGTTCTGCCCGCCCCACAGCCTTTCCACCACCCCACACTGCCTCTCAAGGCCACCCAGGAGTTGACAATGACAAAAGCTAGAAGAAGGGGCCTCCTTGTCCATACTGGCTGGAATGGTAAAAGCCAAATGCAATGGAGAATTGTGTTGTTGTTTTTGTTTTTAATTAATGAACCTGTTGGAATGTGCCATTCAGCAGTGGAGCTGAATGGTTCCTGCTGTTCCTGCAAAACAAACAAAAGTCCCTCCACCCAAGCCACTTCTGTGGCCACTTTTCTAGCCTTATCTATCCAGGGATTTTGAAAGGGACACAGAACTGTGGGAGAGGCACCTTCTCCAGCCAGCTGGGACCCAGTCTCCGGTCTTCCTGCCACCACACCAGCCATCTACATAGACTGGGCATCTTGCAGTGGGCAGCCCCAACTCATCCCCATCTAGAAGGGGAAGAGTCTTGAAGCCCAAGATGTCTTGTCTCCATTAGCTTTACTTCTCCCTGGGTCTCAGTGCAATAAACTGAGTCATTATTTTACTGTGACTTGGTGGTTTTGAGGGTCTCTTTCAGTTCTATTAGCCAAAGAACATTAGAAATTTTCCTTTATTTTTCTCTCTTTATGCCCTAAACTAATAATAATAATTGTTATTATTATTATTATTATTTCTCCCTTCCATAGGATGATATTTACTTAAAACCCCAGGTCATTTTGGCTCTCTTCATATTTCTAACGAAAACTTTCCCAAATTAATAAGTAAAGCATTCTTCGAATGTTACCCTTCCATTCCCTTTCATTCCAAGGAAGGGTCGTTTGCCTTAGAATGTCAAGGGTAAATGAAAGTCAAAAAGCTTTGAAGAACGGCATAACTAAGAACAAATTCACCTTACCATTTAGTAGCTGGGTGACCTTGGGCTAGTACAACCTCTCCTAGACTTGATGTTTTCCATGTGGAAAAAATGGGTGTTGATACCGACTCTGAAGGTTGCTGGGTGGATGAAGGACAAGGGATCTGTGAAGTGCTTGCGCCCAGTAGGAGTCTGAGAGCTGTCCCTTCCCTCCTATGTAGAGCAGCTCTCCTCTTTCCAGGGTTCTCAAGATTCAGACAGCCTGGGTCCCCTCCCCAAGTGGCTGGCTCCTCTCTGAAGTCTGATCCTTTTTATTTTCCTTTGGTCACAAACCCCAGTGTGGAGTGTAAGTGTGTGTGTGTGTGTGTGTGTGTGTGTGTGTGTGTGTGTGTGTGGGAATGGGTCTGGCTTCTTTGAAAATGGCTTCTTTGCTAAAACCACAACCTCAGATCTGATACTGAAAGAATCTGCTGGCACTGGTCCCTGTCAAAACAATTCGGAGATATCCAGAGACTGTCCTCCAGGGCTGGCAGCGGGCCCCCAAGCTGAGCCTCACTCTTGGATTCCCAACAGGCTCAGGAGGCAGGCCCCCAACACTCCATGGCACAGCCCCATTCCTCTATGCAAAGGAGGCTGGAGAGAAGGGCTTAGCATTCTGGAGCAAAATTCTCTCTCTCTGCTGCCTGCCTGCCTCCTGCAGAAACCACACACACACACACACACACACACACACACACACACACACACACACACTCACACTCACACACACACACACACACACCAATTTTCAGAAGGCTCTTGGCATTGCCCAACCCTTCCTGAGCTGGACAGAGCTGCTAGAGCAGGGTCTACCCAGCCAAGGCTGCCTCCTTCATTCCCAGCCCCCTCCCTTCCCTCCTCCAGAGTCAAGGTTTTGTCAGGAGTTTCAGGGGCACTGACTGGTGGGGAGGGGGCCGCAGACATCCTGGCTGCTGCCAAGTCCTTTTCGTTCCCCCACAGTATGTTTTATAAGCCGGCATGTAGTTTATTCTTCTCCTAAACACTTCACTAGGGTGCAGGGCCTGGAGTTGCCATAGAAACACCTTTTAACTCCTCCCCACCCAGAAAGCAGTGCCAATGCCCAGGGTCAGGGGAGGGGGGGAGAAAGGCAAAAAGAGACACCTATGGATGAGGAGAAAGGAGAGGGAAGGCCATGGGGGTTCTTTAGACAGGGCCAAGTCAGGCATACAGTGCCCTTTGCCCAGCAACATGGCACTCAGCCACGAAGAGAAAACAGCCAGGAAATTTCTGGAAGAGGAAGCTGGTGATCTGGCTTGAGCATCTTTAACGGGCTACAGCATTGATTGGTGGGGTCGTAAGGGTCAAGGAGAATGGGGAGCTCCTGCACATTTCCTTCAGGGAGAGGACCGGCAGAGTTTCAACCCAGACTGGACACCAGAAAGGCTCTGTCAGCAAGGAAAACTGGGAGCCACCTACTGGACACCAGCGGGGTACTGTAAGGCAGCGAGGTCAACAAGCAAGCAGCCCACATCCACACCTCCCATTTTTTAAAAGCATTATCTCATCCCTGCCACTAGTGCAGTGCACCAAACCCAGGCAGAACAGTTTTGGATTGGTGCCAGTGTACCGAAAATTTTTTTTGTTTCCTTTTTATTTTTGCTACGGGTACTGGTTCTGGTCTTTGGGTACTTCCTAGTAACTTAGCTTTTCTCTGGGCAGTTTATCGAGGGCGGGGATTTGTTGAATCAATCCGGAGAAATTGCAAGAAACTCTGCATCAGCCCAGACCCAAGGCAGGAAACCTAAGAGTCAATCAGTGCAACCATTAAAAGCAGGGTCTCCTTACTGCTGTTTCCACTGTTCTCTGGTGAACTTCCAGGGTGAAGACCCAAAAGCCAAGGGCAAGGGGGAGTCATGAGGTCTCCCTCCCCCCACACACCAAAAAATCCAAGCGAACACACCCAAGCCATTGTCCGGCAGAAGAGGGTGCCCTGACTCCACCTGTCAGCCTCCTGGCCTCCTCACCAAGCAAAACCAGAGCCCAGCAGCAGCAGCAGCTCCCGGCACTACTCAGGTGGCAGTGTCACAAGGGGGGTGAGGAGGGACAGGCCAAGTGGAATTGGGGTAGGAGCAGTCAGGGGAGAAGGAAGAAAACCTTCCGGGCCTCAGGCAGCCCAAAAGAATCCTTCAGGCAATCCACAAACCAAGGGGCCAGCCAGATTCCCCCGGGAAAGGGAAGGGTGCACAGCACGGGCCCCAGGAAACCTCCAACAAGGGTGACCCCGGGTCACATAAACACCCACGCCTGCCAACTGAACTGACCTTCTGGTCACCACAGCCACCTCCCTGACTTCTCCTAGGCTCAGCAGGGCCCACCAGCAGCGCCCCTCCCGACTTCAGCTGCCTCCCCTGCCAGGCTCCTGTCTCCTCCCCCTCCTCCCCTACAGCACACTTGTGGAGGCCCTCACCCAGGACCCAGTGGAAAATTTTCCTTCTTCTTTATGACTTAAAACACACACGCTCCATTCTTCACCTCTGAATCGACACAGGCGGAGGGCAGCTAGACCGTGCCCCACCCCAGCCCCAGTACAAGTGTGTGTATACACACACACACACACACACACACACTCACACAGCAGGGGCCACTGGACTTGCATGCTTTCTGAGCTGGAAATAAGAGGAGAGATGTTTTCGAGCTGCTACTCCACCTCTGGCCATCCAAACACCAGTGTCCCGAACACTCCCAAACAAGTTCTCCCAGGACACTTGCAAGGCCCCGGATAAAAACTGGTTCTACCTCTTGCTGAGTCTCTAATCAAGACACTAAGTCCAGTTTGGAATTGTCACCATGATGTGACCCTTGGCATCTTTCTTCTTTTGGTGACAAATCTGTTTTCCATTGCTCATTCTCCCCCTCCCCACACACATTCAAGGAAGAAAAATAGCCTTCCTGTGATTTCTCACAGCTATGTGCTAAGTGATCCCTCACACACGCCACCTCCTGCTTGCTATCAACACTCTCAAATACGGTTCCTCCGGGAGAGGGTCAACCCCACAGCTTTCTTCTCATTTCCCCCCTTACATGCACTCACACTTGGCAGTCCAAGAAGCTTCTTTAGCCCTTGCCTGGGAAGTGGGAGGCTGGGTTAGGTCTCAACGAAAAGAATGAACTTCATGGGTGCAGGCGAAAATGCAAACTCAGAAAAGTTCAAGATTCTCCTGCAACTTTTGTGCACATGGATGGCAACTTTTTTAAAAAACTACTGAACATCCCAGTACTTTAGTTAGTTGGCATTCCAAGTTTTGGGAACCCTTTCCCACCCTTTTCTCCCCCAGCCCTTCCTCTGGTGATAGTGAAAGGGGAAATTTTCTAGATGTCAAAAGGACCATTAGGGACCTCAGGCCCTAAAAGGAGAGCAAAGGTTGCAAGGGGTTCACTCAGCCACTGTGGATTTTCTCTGCAGGGCATCTGCCCCTTCAGCTATGCCAGATCCTCCGACCGGAGAAACTGAGTTTCGTCACCCCACCCCAAGCTCAGGCAGAGAAAAGGAATGGGGCTCGCCATGCCACCCGGAGCTGCGCCCCAGGCCGGGCTGCAACGCGAGAGCGGGCACCGCGGGGGCTCTGGCGGGGACATCCGGAGCGCTTACCGATGTCAGAGTTGCAGAAGGCGTCCTGGGGGTGGCTGGGCGAGCATGTGCACGCCTCGGCGCCCCAGTCCCCCAGGCTCCAGCTGCCCAGGAGCACGACTAGCCCGAGCCAGGGAGTCATTGCCGCTGCCGCCGCTGAGGCTGCTACTCGCCTCTCCAAAGTTGTCGTGCGCGCCGCTGGAGGGGCCGCTGCAGCCCGAGCTTGCCTGCCCGGCCGTGCGGGACAACTTTGGCCTCGGGCGTGCTGCCCTGGGAGTGCCCAGCGGGACGGGATGGGGCGCAGCGAGGTTGCCTCGGTGCGGGCGCACGACTCTGCGGGCCGCGGGTCTCTCCGGGCGAAGGAGCGGGAGCTCGGGCGGAGCAGGAGGAGCCGAAGGAGGAGAAGCCGTCTGACCGCCCGCCCGCTGCCCGCTCTGCGCGCTGCCGGGCTGCCGAGTGATATAGTGCGGGTCCCCCGGGCACCCCCTCTCGGGCACTCGGGGCCCGCCCCCTGCGACCAATGGCAGAGCCGCATTACCTCATCGGCCCTCCGAAAGGGGCGGGGCCGGGGGCGCGGGCCGACGGGGCGGGGCCGGCCCGGACAGTTCAGATCCTTATAGGGAATAATGCGGCTGTGGGCACCGGAATGGGTGAACCGGAATGCGCCTGGGACCAGCGCTTGCCGAGTGGCCCCCGGAGCGGCGCTCCCGTGCCCCACCTCGCCAGTACCCTGACCACACACCCACCCTTCTCTCTGAGCACTTCTGACCCAAACCAGAATCAACTGCCACCCGCCACAGCACCAGCCCGTCTCGGGTCACAGGCCTGGTGGAAAGGCTAGGTCCTGGTGCCCCTGACTGCGCCTGGTGGAAAGGCTAGGGGAAAAGACTAACTCTCCACCTTCTCTGGAAAGAGCTGGGTCAGAGGGGAAAGGACCAACTGACAACCTACACACCCAACCCCGACTTTCTGGATGTGAGGACGCCATCTGCCCTTTGGAGCAGGCTACGATGGACTGTTGTTTCCCGGGGCTCACCCAGACTAAACTGTGAAGTCATTCAACAAACACTGTTCTGGATGTTGGAATGAGCAAAACAAAGCCCTTGCTTCCATGAAAGTTGCGGGCAGTGTGCCTTCACTGGTGAATTCAGTGAATTCACCAATACACCAGGTAATTTTCTGTGGTGATAGTACCATGAAGAAACAAAACTTAGTAATGGGTTAGAAATCACTGGGGCGGGGGGCGGTCACTGCTTTCCATGGGATAGTGAGAGAAGGTCTCTCTAAGGAGGTGACATTCTAGCTGAAAGGTGAACAAGGAGAAGGAGCAGGGGGAAATCTGGGAGGAGAGAACACCAGTCCGGGAGAACAGCAAGTGGAGAGGCCTTGAGCTTACTTGAAAACCAGTGAGTAGAAAGGGCAGGAGGAAATGGTGACCCCACCAAGGCCAGACAAGTCTCCATCCTTCAGCAAAGAATTTGGGGGTGAATTGATCCAAAACTGGGGTAACTTACACCAGATTCTGGAGAACTATCCAGGATCTTAGACTACTAGCTATAATGGGTAATTGCTAATAACTAATACTAGGACTATCCTTATTATTAAATAACAGCTTGATTCTGCCTTATGGTTTCCATGCCACACCTCATTATATCTCACAAAAATCTTTTCGATAGGAAAAACACAAAGTACTATTCACACTTTCCAGATGAGGAAACTGGCACAGAAAGGTGACATGACTTGGCAAGCAGCCAGGAACTCCATTCACTCTTTTGCACGGGAAGAAAGATTTTATTTCCCTGGACTTCAGCAGTAATTAGCTGTCAGCGTGCAGATGCCCTTTTGCAGCTGGAGTCCTCTGTCTTTCTATTCTTGTGTCACTCTCCCTTTCTCTCCTAACTCATCCTGTTTAGAAAGAGACTTGAATGTTTTGGCTATAGAAATGCAGAAAGTTTGGAACAAAATACTCCTTAGAAATCCAAGTTCAACTCTTCCTCAGAAACTCTATTTACACCTCAGAGAAGTGACACTGGGATGGCAGAAGCAAAAAATTTCATTGAAAATGGTTATTTCCAAGAACATTTTTTAAACTCCTTTGCCCCTCCCCCTTAAGAATTGTAGCTATAAGGAAGGAATCAAGTTTCCACATTTTTCTGCCCTATCCCCTTCCCAACTTTTCAGCCCCTTTCTACCTTAATTCTAACTATAGCCTGGCCCAGATAGATCTTTCCCTCTTCCAATGTTTACTTCAGCACTTAGCTCACTGTTTCATGGAATATAATTGTATCATTTCCCCAACCACACTCGAAATACTTTGAGACCTGAGATATATGGCCATCCCACTTTTTTAGCCCTCTGAATACAAAATAGGGTCCCAGGAGACTTGGATGTGGGTATGGCCAGCAGCCCATAGAGTCTGGAACAATGGACACTCCAGAGGCCACTTCAAGGATCCAGGTTGAAGGAGGGCATACTTGGTGGGATTTGAGAGTTTGCTTATCCTTGCATGGTGCCAGTCATGTGGAAGGTTTTATAAGCCTTTCCAGACCAAGTCCACTTTGGATAAGCATCTTATGTGATAAAGGCCCTCTCTTCTCTTTTTTTCTTTTCACTCTATCCTTCTATCCAAAATGCCAATATTTTCTTCAAGGGAAGGCTTGCCCAGAACAGGAGTATCAGGCAGGTAACTTTTGCTGAACCTCAAGCAGCAGGTTCCTTATAGAAAGCATCCAAAGCATTTGATTATGGCAACTACTTAATTTTGTAAGCACCAAGAGTAATCTGATTGTTTTTCCAACTGAAAGGTAATGAAATTGCCTTTTGGTTTATTTCCTCTCGCTCCCCATCCTAAGCTGGTCCATGAAGCATCTTTGGAGTTTAGCTTCCCTTACCCAGTTGGGAAGTTCTCCCTTATATCTAACTCTAGGGGACTCCCCTGTGCCCATGAGAATTCAACCTGGTCCTCACCTTGAGGAAGAGAAAGAATAAGCTCCATGAATCCTTGTGAAGGAGAGGACCCCACTGTCAAGGTCAGCCCCTCCAGCAAGCAGACCTCACAGGCATCAGTCTGGATGTCGTGGTGTCCTTCGACTTAATAATATGTAAGAATTGCTTTTTCAAGACGATTTTATAAGCTAGTTGGAGCAGACCTGCGACTAATGATAAGAATGACTACACCAGCTCTCCTACCTTCTCCTGACAGCTAAGCACACGGATAGATTTGTAAACCAGTTCAGAAGAACTGCAGAGTTTGAAAATCTCTCTGGGCTATCCTCAAACCTCCCAGGCTGCCCTGATATCCCCTTTCCCGGAACTTTTCTAGGGAAGATGAGTCCGTGTCCACCCCCTTCATATCAAGTTACAGGATGCCGGAATCTATGAGAAGTCTCTCATAGACATTTAGAGGTCCTCTAAAAGGACTTCAGGGACTACCCATACTCATTTTATAGGTGGGAAAGATAAGGTTCATACAGGTGAGAAAATTACCTCTCACCGTCAGCTCGTGGCTGAGCCAGGATTGCTTTGCAGCTGCCTGATTCCGTACCTGGATCTCTCCCACACACTCATGGACCTCAGTCCCCGCAGCCACAGTGCATGACCTAATGCTTGTACCCTAGTCATGGAAACTCCAGCCACTCGTGCTCCTGAATTTGCATGTCAGATCTGCAGATGAGTTTGTTTCAGAGTCTCTTTGTTCAGTGTATAACACATGGACAGTCCTGACTGCCCCCTGCCCTCACTAAAAGGTTCTCCATCATGATAATAATCACCTCTGAGCCAATCAGAACAAATACCATTCTGTTCTCCTCAGAGGTTTATCTCCTGTGTGTTTATTTTTCCCTTAATAAATTATTATTTCATACTTTTTGAAAACATTCCAAACACATTACTTCAAAGAAATGCATGAAACTTTATTTCTGGGGGACAAAGAGAGGCTCAGGTGGGGAGAAAAAGCAAAAGACCTGAGATTGGTTCCAAATGCTGCAGAAGAAGAGTTGTGTGTGTGGCCAAGTCATCTCACCTGTCCAGACCTCAATTTCTGTGTTTATTAGAGGAAAGCTATAACTTAATGGTCTCCAAGCCCCCACCTTGCCTCAAAAAGTCTTAGGATTCCATGGGAAACTCTCAAGGACACGGAAAGGAAGATAGATCTTGCCCTTTAAACAGGTTTGAGACAAATCGAATGTGCCCAAGACTGAAGCACATCCATCAATCTCTCAATCAACACTTACTGAGTTCCTATTTTGTTCTCTCTGTTCTCTCCTTGAAAACAAAGATTGTGATGGTGAAATGTTAGGAGAGACTGAAGCTCTTGTTTCTGATAGAGCCCTGTTTAAATTACTTGTTCATCTGTCCGTTTTCTTCTTGGGTCATAAGCACTAAAAGGTCGGGAAGTATGTCTTTTATTGTCTCTATATCTTATTTTCAAAATTCATTGAACTCCTATTGCAGTTTAAATGCAGCCTCCTCCAGAAAGCCTTCTCTAATGAATTACCCTCCCCAGTCTTCATCAATCACCTGCAGTGTATTCCCACAGCACCCTGTGCTCCTTTCTTTCATACCACTTAGCTGACAAAAATGTGATTGTTTATCCATCGGTTTCCCTTCCTGGATAGAGGAAGCCCCTTGAACACAGTGTTGGTAACAAAGAAGTCAGCAAGTATTGGTTGAATGAGTCAAATTGATTGGTCCAACCAACCCCTTCCCACTATTCAGATAGGCAGGTGGTAGCTCCTTGGAGAGCTCACAGAGCCCTATCCCTCTGGCAGGTGCTAGGGGGCGCTATAAGCCAGAGAACACCCTTTCCCTCAGCCTGCGGTGTCGGCCAGTCGCACTGAGAGAAGGCAGGAGAGGCAGTTCCACACTAGTCACCCACTTTGAGTGGGTGAATCTAACCCCTCCCGTCTGCAGTGGCCACAGAGCTGTCAGTCAGCATCCCGTCTGGGTCCACAGCTGCCCAGCTCCTCCAGCCCCGAGCTGGCCCCATGTCAACCGAAGGGGAGACATGCTCTCAGGTAGCTACATACTTGTGAATCATGGGTTTGGGGGGATCAGGGAGATCTGGGAACACAGCAGACAATGCTGTGATCCCACTCTTTCAGGGCAGAGCTGGTCTCTGGAAATTAAACCAGGAGAAGGTGCTGACAAGACATGTGTCAGTTCTGTTGCCTCATAGGGAAACACCTCTTTTCTTCCCTTCCCTTTCCCCTCTAGACCCTAGCTGCAGTGCCTTCCCCCAAACCCACAGTCCTCATCTGAAAGTCATTACATTCAAAATAGCCTTTTCCAAGCAACAGACAGCCCTGGTCCACCCATCACCATGAGCCCTGGCCAGACTCAGTGGGGTTGCTGCCCAGCCCGGGGAATTATGAACCTGAGATGGTAAGCACTTCTGGTTCTCTGTGTGTCTGGCACCAGCAGGGAGTAAACACCTTTTCTCACTT